TGTTTAGCAAGCATTGAATCGCTGATACGTGTGCTAAGAGTGCGCTCTTAAATCTGAAACTCATTTATTTGAAGTTATATTTTGATCGCCACTTGTTTTGCGATCACTTTTCTCTTACTGTTTTTAGGTTAGTCCTGACAATAGCTCAACAAATAACTATTATGTGGTACACCTTAAGTGATACTACAGTCCAATAGAAAAAATTGACGCTTAGTTTAGACCTAATAGTCTAATAGTTTATTATTTAAATTGCTATACATCTTTCAATCTTATTTTTTTTAAACATACCTTATTATCAAAAATTAGTGATTATGTGTTATAAACTTTCTGTAAACTAAATCATATTAAGTTTTTAAAAAATAAATATAATAATTTTAAAAATTATTACAACTTACCAAAATTATTTTGCATATTTTTATAAAAATTAAAATACTTATACAAGTGTTGCCTAAAAATTGATATTTATTATATATATGTGTGTTTAACTCAATCATTTAATATAATAGCTGGAGATCTCTCAACAGAGTTAGACATATTGGACAACATGTATACAAGTGTCATAAATACTGTAACATTTCAAATAAGTATATATCAAATAACAGAGATAAACCACAATAAGGATTGGTTATCACAAATGGTTTGAAAATAATGAGATACTCTCATTTCAAACCATATAATTATAGTGAGTGAGTGAGTGAGTGAGTGAGTGAGTGAGTGAGTGAGTGAGTGAGTGAGTGAGTGAGTGAGTGAGTGAGTGAGTGAGTGGTGTGTGTGAGAGAGAGAGAGAGAGAGCTTAGCATACATAATAGTATTGGTTTACTGATTGACATTTTTTTTAGAAATAACTTACAAACAAACAAAACTTAAGACACGAAACCAATAAATTATTTGAAAAAAATAGTTAATAGTTATTCCATTATTTAAGCAATAGTTATAATCTATTGCTGTATTTGCTGTTAACTGTTAATAGAATTTATATTACTTTAACATTTGCCAAAACAAATAGTTTTTATTTTTATTTTGTTTGTTTTCTAATCAATTATTATATAATTAACAAAATTTATAATTTTCTAATTACTAAATGTTACAATGCGTTAAATGAAACGATCAAATATAATCAAATAATATAAATTTTCTTAATTAGTAGAAAAATAATATTATAATTTTATTTTGTTTATTTATTATTTGTTGTTTTTAGAAACACTTTCAATCAAATAACAAATCAATAAACTTAAAGTAAATTATAAATATTATTATTATTTATTTTTAAATCACAGATTTTTTTTTATTTTCAAATGTGCAGTTATTGTTATTTTTAAAAATTAAATAATGACATTTAAAGTAATTGTTATAATAAATAATTTGATACAAGTTAATAATAATAATAGTAAATTAATATAAAAATTTGAAAATATTTTGAATAAAATAACAATTTTAGATTATAACACAAATACAAGTTAGGAATCAGTTAATGTTATCTGTAATTAATATATTTGTATCATATTATATAGTTTTTATTTTTATTATTTTCTATATTATTTATACATAATTTTGATTTTACAAATATATTAAAGGTTATGACTTAATATTTATATATTTAACAATTCTTATCTACAATTTTGAAGTTAACTTTATAATTGAAAACAATTAAAATAAAATTAATAAAAATTTAAATGAAATCAATTTATATTCACTTTTACAAAATATAGTAATTATACATTTATATAAATATATACAGTAATGTAAAAATATAATAATATATTATACTTAATATCTATAATGTGATTCAATTGCCATTAAGTTTTTCTATCATAACTATTGGTAAAATTGAGATATTGTCATAAATTTTATTAACAATTAAATAACTGATGATATGATCAAAGGTTGTATATCAACAATCAATTGAATCATTTAAATCAATCGAATAATTTAATATCTAATTGTATTATATTTAGTCATTATTATTATTATTATTATTATTATTATTATTATTATTATTATTATTATTAAAATAAAAATAATTAAAATAAAATATTTTTGAAAATTTAATAATAATTGAGTTGTCACTGAAATTCAGATTAATAAGTCTCAACATTAATAGAATATGTAATTCATTGCTTATATTAGAGACCAAAAAAATTTCGTATCTATACCTAACCCATACCTAACCCATACCTAACCCATACCTAACCCATACCTAACCCATACCTGACTTTATTTAATTATTCCGATCACAAAACAATTTAGCGCTAAACTAAAAAAATAATTTAATAAATTTAATTTATTCATTCAATTTAATTTCAACTAATCTCTTAATAAAAATATATTAGAAGAACATTAAAAAATTGATTAAAAATAAATAAATAACATTTTATAATACTGTAATATAAAAACTTATATAAAAAACAACAATACAATTATTGGTAGACCAGATTTATAGATAAATAGTAAAAATAAAATATTTATAAAAATTTGTCAAATTAAATGATAAATTTATAATTTATTAACATTAATACTAATTCGATAATAATAATAATCAATTCCCAACTTTATGGTATTACATCAATAAAACATTAAATAAATTAGATTTATATATAATTTTAAAAATATATTTATAGATTACGGTAATACAAATTATATTTGAATTGTAGACAAATTTTAGAAAATATCTGTAAATATAAAATATAGTGACATCTATTTATTTATGAAATAAATTTATTTTTATAAAACTTCTTAATACAGTCTAATGATATAATAATTATCTCAAGATTTCCTTAGACGACAACAATGTAATAGAGGTTAATATTATAGTCCTATTTATTAACTAAGTAATCATATTTACAGCTTAGAGTCTATGCTTTAGACAGTCATTGTAAGCATTAAATGATAATTTATTTAATAAATAGGACTATAATATTAACCTCTATTACATTGTTGTCGTTTCAGGAACTCTTGAGATAATTTTAATAATTATGTTTATTAAATAAATTAACTGACATTAATTAAATTAATAATTAAAAATAAATTATATATGAATTAGGAAAAAATTACATATTGTTTTTTTGTTGATTATTTTAAAAAATTTTACTGTAGTTTAAAAGATTTTTTTATAAGCCTTTTAACTAATTAATAATGTAAACGGTTTGAAGGACCCAATAAGGTCTGGAAATCCTGTAGAGTGATGATAGACCAAACATCCCTGAGTTGTCCCATACACTCACATTCTGTCCGAACTTCGCAATTCAAGATATTCGACTTTAAAGTAAAAACTCAAAATTTGTTAATGCACGTTATTTATGGTTATGATATATTATTTCAATGTATTTTTAATGCTAATAATATGTCTGAAAACTAAATTTCAATAAGTTTTCCAGTATTCGAGATATTCGATTAGTCGAATTTTTTAAATAGACGTTATTTATGTATATGATATATTATTTAAATGTTTTTTTTTTGAAAATAATAATTGCAAACCTATAATACAATAAGTAAAATAGGCATAAAGAGCGCAAGTAAATAAAAATTGATATCTTAAAAACTACAAATGATAAAATTATAAAATAAATGAAAAATTGTTTATAAGATAATAGGGTTTTATAAAATTTTTAAAATAGTTATCTTAAAGTCGATACAATTAGTAAAAATGCAATTTATTAACAATATGCATTTTTATTAAAATGACATTAATAAAATTAAAGAAAAACATTTTTAATGTGTTACGAGAATATCTCTAGATTATCAATAAAATTTTACGATATTGTTAAAAACCAACATACAGGGTGATTTGTAAATCACTTAAAACTTAAAAATTAAAATTATTTGATTTTTTAAGTTTGATCTATCTATTGAAAATTTAATTAATTTAATTAATTTTAAATAAGTTTTATAATAATTCATTTATTATTTAGTTTATAAAGAATTAATCTGAAAAATTACAAAATGCAAGTTTACACATAAATTAATTATTTGATTGCGCTCTTAATGCCGGACCCTTTTGTATTGTAACTAATTGTATATATATATATAATTTCAAATATAAAATAATTGAATCTTATATTTGACCTAAAATAACCTTATATTTTAATCTTTTATACTAATATTAGAAATTAATTTTATTTATTTATTTAACTATAACTGTAACTAGCCTATTTAACTTATTTACTGTAAACAAAATGATTTAAAATTAATACTATACTGTAAATTATGTATATATATTACAGACAAAAATAAATATTATACATTAATTAAATATTTTTTAAGAATTAATAAAATAAATATTTAAAAAATAAATTATAATTTAAAAATTCATTGAAATAATATATCATAAGCTTAAATAACATACATTAAAAATATTCAAATATCTCGAATACTGGAAGACTTATTGAAATTTAGTTTTTAGATATATTATTAGCATTAAAAAGTACATTGAAATACTATATCATAAGCATAAATAACATCCATTAAAAAATTTTGACTTTACTTTAAAGTCGAATATCTCGAATTGCGAAGTTCGGACAGATATGTGAGTGTTATGGGACAACTCAGGGATGTCTGGGCTATCATCACTCTACAGGATTTCCAGGAACTTATAAGGCTTTCAAACCAATTTTAATGACTATTTCAAATAATAATTCACTTATCGGTAATTAAGATACAGTTTTTATTATATACCTTTAAACTGATATATGAAATGATAAGTTATCAATTTTAATAACTATTAAACTATAATCTTATTACTATAACTAATAATCTATTATTTTTCACTAATATAAAATATTATTTTATTTATATTAATTTTAAAATTAGTTATCAAATTAAATGTTTAATATATATGATGTAATTTGTTAATAGCAATTAAAAAAAATAATATATTATATTTAATAAATTTTTTAATATTTTTTTATATTAATTAAAAAAAATATTTAAGTATTATAACTAAAATTAGAATATTATAATTGACAAAAATATAGATAAATAATATTGTTAATCATAATCAACACAATCATATAGTATATTAAAAATTTGCCGGTAAATCAATACGAGAAACTTTGATGCGTTTTGATAAATCAGTTAATATGACATAAATGACAGACTGATCCCGTGATAATTCATTGGACATATTGGGTGATATCTGTTGAGTCACATTCATATCAATGTTGTTAAAGTCGGTGGTGTCCTCTTTGCAACTGTTGGTCATCACTGGAACATCATTGTTGGTGTTGTTGGTGTTGTTGGTGTTGTTGGTGATAATATTATTATTAATGTCCTCCTCGTCATCACTTTCATCGATTGTAATAACTTTTTGCCTTTTTGTTTCAGACATTTCTGAAGCTATCAAAAAAATTTAATTGTTTTAGACTTAGTTTTATAAAGTTTTCAAAAAACAACTGACATTGAGTTCGTTTCATTCCTTTATCGTCTTCATTAAGCACTGGAATCCATGAGCCATCTTCAGTGAACTGGATCTCATTACAAGTGATGGGCACTTCTTTTACTATTTTACTAAATAAGCTATTATTTAAAACAAAATAAATCATATGTATAAAAACTATTGTATAAAATGTATTATTAAATTACTTACCTATCAATAGCTAAATTATCTATACTTATGATTTTGTTACAGACAGGACATACCGGTACCCAAAACAGATCAGACTTATTCTCATTCAACTCAAAATATTTTAATCCATCGAAACACTGGATATGAGAACAAGTGTTTGCACGACAAGGATATTGGATTCGGGTTTTACTTAACTGATCCATGGATTAAATCAAATTAAGTTACAATAAAAATAAATTATAAATTATAATAATACCGGACATAATAGTGAGACTTTCCAACTCAGGGCTTCTATATCGGTGTCTTCCTCTTCGTTAAACATTATTCTTTTAATTTGATTTATTGTCTCCTCTGAACTAATCCTACTTTTATTAAGTAGTTCCCTGAGAACTATCTCCGCAATCATATTATTTTTATCACTTCTTGTAATATAATAATTTAATATTTATTAGCCCGTAATTAAACTGATGATAAAAATATAGTATTGACTATAACTATAAATATATTAGTAATGAGTTTGAAATAATTGGGTATAATTATTAATAACTACTTTTAAAAAATAGTTATCTAAAGTTTAATATATAGTATAGCACATGTCTAATAATTATTGTTAATATTATATTTATATTATATTATTAAATATATGGAAATTTTTTTTAACATTTTATCATACAAATTGAATGAACTTGATTCCCATATATATAGAAAAAAATAATTTTAAAAATAATATATGGTTTGCAAACAAGATTTTTAATGATATTATTGATAATTATACAAAAAAATATGCAAATCATACAAATGTTTGAAAATTATTAATGAACTTAAGATTTAAATATGAAAAATATATTGAAGACATAATTAATTTACGGAATCATTCATTAATTAATTTATTTTTAATAGTCTTCTCTGAAGAAATATTCGTCACTTAATTAATTAATATTGATTTGAATAATAAGATAAATATTATTGAATTTAAAATATCTTTTTTTGTGTGAAATTTGATGATTTATTTCTATTTCTTGGCGAAAGTGATTTTGATGGCATGAGTTGGCGTCACTTTGAAGCCCTGTAACGCGTCCTTTGCATTACCGGATTGGAACTCATTGTCAAACTCGACAAAAGCGATGTCATGTCGTCCGGGAACGAGTCGAACCTCTTTGAAACCCGGAAACTGATTGAACAACATCTGTAACATCAATTCGTTGGTTTCTTCGGGTAAATTAGTTAAGAATAGGATGTTATTGGGCGGCTGTTCGGCCAGTGCTGAGTGTGGTATTCCCTGAGCGGTCATTCCGTTTTGAGCACTAGTAGTGTTGGCCTTCTTTTCCTTCTTCTTTTTCTTTGGTTCCTCACTTCGCGGCAGTTTTGGTCTCTCGACATACGTTCCCTTGATTTTGCAAATGACATCACTGTCTGTCTTCGAGTAGGCGATCCTCTGGTGGGTTAAACAATAATTAAATTATAGTTAATAAATGATATCTTAATTAAGACAATATATGATATGTTGATCCAAATGGTAACATACCATTGGTTTGTCATAAAAGGGAAAGTTTTGCATCGATCGGAGGGCTTGTGATGCCGACTGAATGTCATTGAAAATGACAAACGCCTGTCCCTTCATCTTAAATGTCTTGAGGGCCACAATGTCTAGTATTTGTCCGAACTGTGAGAATATCGCGTGCAATGACTTCTTGAGCTCTGTTTGTTTGATCGGCAAAAAAGTAAAGAAATGAAACGGTTTAACAAATATTGTGTTCAAATAAATACAATTACCGGTCAATACTTACCCTCTTTTTTGATCTTTTCATTCAAATTATTGATATAAATGGTGTGATTAGGCTTAACCTCGAGAGTGCCACTCATGATGTCTGTCTGTTTGTTTGTCGCAACACTTGATCCCAAGCGGTGATCAATCAAAAACAAAATCAACGATCACTTTGAAAGACAATTGTAAATAATTTAATGAAAACAATCGTTTGTTTTTGTTTTATCTATTTATTGAATCCAATGCTCGACTCAATCACTGATTGTGACCACAGATGGCGTCACTAAAGTCATTGAAGTTTACATTGAATTGACGCCAACTTTCCAATAGATGACTGATTTATCGTTATTTTTGATGATATTTATTGATAATAAAATTTTTAGTTGAAATATAGGATCAAAATGAAGACATAAAATGATTGATTTTTATCGGATCCGATGCTTTTTGGATGATATTCAATGGTAAGTCATTTTTTAGTTATTTTTATTTATATTTAAAATAATTTTTACAAATAGTTCACATCTTTTTAATGAAAATAAATAAATATTAATTATGAAACTTATTTAAAAAAAGTTTAATAATTAAATGTTTTTTACTATTTAATTATTAGGGTTGAAATTTACATATTGATTGATCAACTATTTTCTGATCAAAAGTTTTAATTACAAAATATTTATTTTATTCTTTTTATTGCAAATATATTATATTTTTTGGTTTTTTAAAATCTGTATAAATTAATTATAATTATTCAATAAAATTTAAAAAGTTTAATCAAAGATTAATTATTGACTGAGAATCTATGTTTTTACACTATTGCTAAATATCTAGATTTTAGAAAATAATTACTAAATTTTCAATAATATTATTTGCTTATATTGTTTTAATATATGATAACTCAAGTTATTTACTTAATATTATACAGTACTGTACTATACTATGAAAAGTAGTAGATTAGTATAGTATAGTATAAAATATTAATATTATTTATTAAATTATTTAACTATTAAATTGTAATTAAAAAAATAAAACATTGATTATTAATCAATCATTTATTTTAATATTCAAATAACTATTTAATTTATTTAAATAAAACTAAGTTTATTATAAATAAACAAACTTTATTTAACCAACCAACTTTGAAACAATAATTTATATTTAATGTTATTTATTTGATTTTACTGCAAATGCATATTACATTTACATAATAAACAAATAAAGTTACATTTAATGTTTATAATTAAATTGTTTTTATTTTCTAAAATAATAAAATAGTAATACATTAAATAAAATTTAATACAAATTAATTTAATTTCCTTTAAAAGACTTTATGTGATACAATCCAAATAGAATTTATATTATAATTAATCTAATATTATGCTTAATATACTGTACTCTCTATTATAAAAACAAATTTCATATTAGTTTAAGTTTTATAAACTACTTATAAATTCTTTAAATACAAATTAATTTTTCTTTAATTATAGTAAAGTTTGAAACTAAAATATTGCGAAATTTTTTTCAAGWTGACAAATATTGAGGTTTATATATATATTCCATGTAAAGTATGATTAACCTGTGAATTTAGCCATTAGTGAATTTAATGATTAACAATATTTTATTTTATTATTCAAAACCAATTGAAATTGCATTGTCACCTAACATTGTCAGTTAAAAAATCCTGAACGACATTTTAAAATATGATTAAATATAATAAGAGAAATTAAGGAGTCCAAAGGTTCAGGTTACTTTAAAAGGAACAAGGACAATGTACCTTATGTAGTGCAAAAGAGGTATATTGATCAAGGTGAACTAATATTAAATAAATATTTTTATAAATATAATAAATGTTACATTAAATTTATTCCACATATCATATACCAAATTTCTAGATAATGTCTACCATTTTGTTTATGTGCCTTAAGATGTAGACTAATGTAATTTTATAGACATTTAAAAAAAATTTATTCCGAATCTAAAATCTAAATTTAATAAACAGACAGAAACTGACTTCACGGACATAATGAATTTAGATACGAAATTTTTCAGGATTTTGTTGTAACAAATTACTTAAAGTATATGCAAACAAATATTAGAAACCTTATAGTAGTTTAAATATACAGTTTGATAATACAGTAGAGTATAAAATTGAAAATATTCATTAAATAAATATTATTTGATTTTTTAATTTAATTATAATTATGGTTTGGGAAAATTCATTTACTCGTTTTATTATCTATAAGTTCYCTCTCTCTCCTGATCCCTGGGAATTCCCAGGAAATCTATTTCCTTGTGCTACCACCTATTGAACACTAAATAACAAATTTTATTATAATGTTTACAAAATAATTGTTATATTAAACAGTATTTTAAGTGGTATTCTTAAATAATATGAATAAATTTATTTATTTCAAATTGAATTTTGAATATTTCAATGAAATTTTATGCTAAAAATTTAAGTTTTGATACTATTTATTGAAAAAATATAAAACATATTTTTCGGAAAAATTGTAGGAATTTTATTGGGTAACTTTTCTCCTTGGGAATGTTGCCCAAACTTTAATTATAATTTGTAAAAAATATTACAAATGACATTTGACTATTATATTTAGTTTGTAAAATTAAGTATTAAAAAAATATTGTATATTAACTTTTTATATATAAAGTGTATATATTTATATATAGATAATACCTGTATGAAATTCACACTAAAAATATAAGATAAATACTAAGATTTAGGTTAACATTTTTGTTTCACATTGAATATCGCAATAATTGATATAACTTATATAATTATTAAACTTTTAATTGTTGTTGTTGTTGCTGAATAGTTTAAACTTTGAAAAATATTATTTCAATTTTATTAAGGATAATTATTTAGACAAAATGATCATTTTATACTTTTTATCCCATTTTCATAATAATACATCATAATTGTCATAAGCATAGTATTAAATAGACAGTATATTAAAAGATCGATAATATTAGTTAAAAGCTAATGTTATGATAATAATTTCTAATATATTATAATAAAAATGATTAGATTTTTTAGATTTTATTGATATTTCACATATTTGGAAAAATCATAAAAACAAAAACATTATTATTATTATTATTATTGATGTTGTTTATGGTTTAATGGTCTAAAATGCAATAATATTGATAATAAATAATAGGATATACAATAGTATTTGGTATTAAAGAGATAATAGATAGTAAATTAGTTGACTAATTGAATTTATAAAAGATATGTTCAATAAAGATATTACAATTAATTTGAAGGCTTACCTATGATAGGGAGACACCTCAAGCATATGCATTAAGCTTATGGGGTGTTACAGAGGCCACAGTCTTACTTCTATTAGACACCTTATAGTGAGGCCATATAGATAATTGACTGGTTAGGTCTGTTAGGACTGTTATGTCTCTCTGTTTGGTCAATGCTTTTTCGAGCCTTTCATGACATTGATTGACACTATAATTGATGCTTAAAAGCAAATATAGCTCACAGGCTGAGGACCTGTCACTCGGACTCAACTGCTTTTGTGTTCATAACAGACATTAAGACTAAAGATTGCTTTAAAACCAAAAATATAAATCATAAAAGTTTTAGTTATATATTATGAGAGGATAGGAGAGGAGTGAAGGGAGAGAGAGAGAGAGAGAGAGAGAGAGAGAGAGAGAGAGAGAGAGAGACTAATCTTCATCAGAGTTACAGTTGAGATCATATGAAATCTTCACTAATGTTTTATTTGCGGTTCCCTTCACATGGGTTTCAGTTTTGTTTATTTATTTATATATTAAGAAAAACTTAAAGTAAAACTTAAACTAAAACTAAACCCAAAAAGTGAAGTGAAAAGAATGTAGTCTTGTCTTAAAAATTTCCTCTTATTATCGTTTGAAGTGATCATCAGTTTTTGAACAGTTATTAGTGAGTTATGTTGTATTTGGTTAGGAGTATAACAAAGTAGGAAATGGGCGGAAAATTACTCTTTAATTTATTGAGAGACTCACTATTTTGAATGTCAATCAAACCATTGATGAGATAAGACCACAATATTTGTCTATTTGTCAAAATTTATTCAAAACCGTGTCTACAATAAAATAACATTATTTGAAAGAGAGAGAGAGAGAGAGAGAGAGAGAGAGAGAGAGAGAGAGAGAGAGGCAAACTGAAAAAATCATTTATTATTTCATTATTATATTATTTATATAATATTTTGTAAATAATTATTTGTTTGAAACATTATGATAGTTATGATGAAAACTGGTAGTAATAGACAGATAGTAATGATGAGGTGGTATTGAGGAGATGGATGAGGTGGTGGTGTTTAGTGGTGTTTAGCGAAGAGATCTTTCATTAGTATTATTGTCAGTGTTTTCCAACAATTGATGTATTGTTGGCCCTCACGCACAAAGTCATAGTTATATCCCAAATACTATAACCAAAGTCGTGGGAAATTAACGTTAAGTTTTGTCCATTACTACTGTACAGTCCATACCATACACTGGTTTTTCTATGTTTACATGTATTACAACAATAGTCATAATGAGAGAGAAGTGTTTGATGAACGACTATAGCTATATCCCTGTGTGTGTTAGCCCTGGAGTCCAGTATTTCTACCAAATTGACCGCCGGCTCATAATTTCCTGTCATTTGTGCCCTAATATAGTCGATTGCAATAGTAATACACATTTTTGTATCTGTTATGTAGTTATGTCTCTCATCTCTCAATTTGTCCAAACATTCATTCAATCACTATTACTATTACTATACTATGTATGTCTTCCTCAGTCTATCTTTTTACTTATTTTTGCCACTATTGCTATATGACTACAGATGTGCAGACATATACTATAAGTTTATATACAAGTAGTAGACGTGTGAATATAGACATAAGCCATTGACAGCAATGGTAGACACCATTGAGATCACGTCCCGACGCTTATAAGCCTCTCCGACTCTTTTTTTGGTAACCTTATCGTTGTCTTCAATGTATGTATGCTTAGTTAGGATCTCATATTTATTGGTATATTATTTTCTATAATATTCGTTATAACAAAAAAGTGGTTCAAAGCTTATCAGTCTTAGTGATAATGAAAACAGACTTTCCTATGAATCCAATGAAAATCAGTGAAATGTTGTTATAAAATGTATGACATGTATGGCATGTACTGTATGGCACAATACTATCAAGTGCTATGTATTTGAACACTCATTTCAATTCAATGACTAGTCCTTCACATAATATAACAAAATTTAATTCCCTTCCTATGCGTTATTTTTATTATAATAATTATCATTACTATTATTATACTACT